AAGTAGAAGTTCGCTACGTACCGGACATTGCGCCGCGTCATTTCGGACCGAATAACTTCGGACGTCACTGGTGGATGCCAGCGTCCCATCGTCTGCCGTACTTTCATTTCACTCTCCTGCAACTTCTCCCCACGCCCTGCTCAAAGATCATGCCTGACGTGAAGTGGAGCCGTACGCCAAGCGGCTCGGCAATTTTTTTGATCGGCCAAAATGAGGGATCAACATTCGTCCCTCTGTAAATAGCAATAATTTCAGCTGCATCAACCCATTCCTTTCACAACCGCGCCCAGCCTTTCAATCATTTTGAATATGTCTCCTCTAATACTCCTGGCGCCTGCCACTTCGTCTGCCACGATGGTGAGGCAATGGCTTGTGTTGCTTGAGTCATGGGGCCCAAGGGAAAAGTTCGGCGGGCGAAAGATAATTTGATAGGAACTCGAGGACGTCTTCAAGAGGTACAACAGCCCGGTATTACAAGATATTTCCTTTTTCTCGCCCACGCTGGATAATCAATCAGAGAATCATGGCCATGGATCACCTCCCCAACTGCATGACGTTCGCCAAGATTTACATGCCATAGTATGAAATAAGACAAGGGTATCGCGCAGAGGGGGGACGCTGTTAGAGGTGAAGTGAGTAAATCTTCAGGCCTTAGACAGCAGATTAGAACATATCTCTTTACAAGCGCATATGTTCACGAGCATCGACAACTATTAGATAAATCTACGTGGGCAGAGACGCTGTCGGTGCCGTGAGTTTAGCTCACACTCCCTCAAGCCTTGCCTATGTCTCCTAAGCCCGTCGCCCATGTAAGTTTGTATGAAAATAAAGAGCCATAATGGTAGTAATAGTGATGATAATAACAGGAAGAGCCGTCTCCCGGGTGATTCAGTGGGGACGCCTCGACGGAATCATTGTACCAGGGATTGCAGATGTGTAATGAAGCGTCGTGCAAGTTGCCCCTTTAGTGGGCCCACATATGCAAATGGCGCGCTATCTCGCTTACCTGCTATCACACCAGGAACTGATGTGACCCTGTCTATTGTGTGCACCTCTCATTAAACGGGAGATACTGACCACAAGCGAGGTCTAAGGTCAGACTTGGACGTAATAAACGCTTCAGACCGTTAGCAGCAACAACTACAAATTGTAGTTGTAGTTGTTGTTGTCAATGCTCAGTAGCAATTGCATCCCGGTTTCATCCTGGGTAAAAGCACTGTGATAATAAAAAGTGAAGAGGAGCCTGTTTCGATCGATGACAGTGGACGCTGCACTCTATTTTCTCGCAATTACAAGTGAGCAAAAGGCAGAGTTGGGCGCGAACTGGGTCATGACTTCTCTACCCGTTCGTGTCGTTGAATGTCATCTCACATCAGCTAGGGAGTACTCTTACTCAGTACTTGTCGTATGCATACTAAATTCCCTACCGGAACAAAGGACAGTCCCGGATATCAGTGTCCAGCATGCGTGCATGGAGTGGCGTGGGTGTGAAGTGTCTGAGCCGTTTACGTAGTAATTCCGCGTGGTAGGGATTGGTAGTGGTTGTTTCGAGATAGCCGGCAGAATCATCTTTGTGCAGATCTCCTTTTTCCTTCCTCCCCCGCCCCTGGTTGGAGAAGTCGGGCGGACAATCGTATATCTCATGTCAGCTTCCATGCAGCTACTGCGCGTCGCAGCACTATACCCCTGTAGTATCGTACATCAAATGACGACGTTGTGATAGGTGGAATAGAAGCGTGGAGATCTGGAATCACCCACATGATATGCAGAAGGGATCGCGGATGATTGAACCATTGCATCACTATCTGGTCGCCGCGAAACAGATGGCGACAAGGCCGATGAAAGTGCGGTTTATTCTTTACAACTGTTGCTGTAGCGCCACGGAGGCCCTGCCCTCACTGGCCAGGGAAAACTGCCGAGGCAAAGCGATGGATCCAATGAAGGCTGCATAAGTCCAAACAAGAGCTGAATTTAAGTCTTCGTCGTGGACCTAATCATGTCATTAGTCGGCAATTTAGAAATTTAAAGGCATTCCTGGGATCGGACCGAAAATCTTGAAGAAATGATACTGTTGTTTAGATCACCTCCATCCAATTTCCCTTGTCACTGACCATAAATCCTCCGATGGATGAGTCCACTAGTCTCTGGAACCACGTGGGAAGGGACAGGGTCGACTAACAGCGTATAGTGTAGCGCGAGGACCAACAGTGATATCTCTATACCTTCATTCTAGCTCCCTCCCAGCGCATACGATGAGTGATATTAATTATCCGATACGACCGGCCCCTCGACCATGTCCCCCACACACCGGGATGGGCGAGCAAAGGATGTGAAGGCTGTGCGGGACCTGGTAGCAAGGCAAAGAGGATCCGACAAGAGTCCAATTTGGCTCCAAAGCTGCATAGATTATTGTCGGTGTGGTGAGTGGGTATGCAAGTGAGACTGAGGATGTTGACGGCATAGACAGTGATAATGATGATGATGATTATGGCGATGGAGTAGAGGATGATCATTTAGCTGAAGTTAGGGAAATGGTCTCGAGGTTCACGAGAGATCATCTTGGCGACCTCCCGCGCGCCTCGCTACCCACTTCACTTGAGAGTGGATGTGCTAATGCGGTAATTGCTTGAAATCCCGATCCTCTGTCTATCTTTCGCGGCCATCCGGCACTGTTTGTCGGCAGTAGCAGCTTTTACCAAAGCTCCTGCTACTGCGGACATTACCAGTACGCCTATGGCTCTCTCTCTCATCACTACCATTCGCAGTGCTGCGGCTACAGCCAATAGCACCTCTTTCACCGAGCCGGGCTAAGCGCGCGCAAGCACGTTGGAGCCACACGTAGGAACATGGGAGAGCGGCGAAATACGCTCAATCTTCCGTCTGCCGCGGCCAAAGAGGGCCATGCAACAGTGCAGGATCTTTGTACCTGGTCACGGGGGCTCAGGATTTGAATTTCCCATATGGATCCGCTCGAGTTGCTAATTTGCCTATCTGTCCTTCTCTGCTTCAGCGCCCGCTTTTCTCCCTCGACCTCGTCGAATTGGTGTCCACGTGGGTCTTCTCGAAACAGGAACAAACATTAACCGTCTCGGTCCATAGATCTCGCTGTCTGCTAGACGTCCCTCCTACCTTGACACGGATGCAACACTGTCTCCACCGCGACCGATGGTGAGCCCGAGCCATTGGCACTTCGGATCTGAAGAGCCACGGACCGAGCACCCTGGGGCAGATGACCAGCGGTGTTCTAACACAGAGGTGATGTTGTCTCAGTAGGGGCAGGTCAGTCCTACACGGACCTGCCAACTTCGCAGAAACTAGGGCTAGCCAAGAGCGCGTTGTTGATGCTGAGGGTCGCTGGGGATTTGGTGGTTTAGCGTTGCCGTCTTCCCATTCAGTCCCAGAGCTGAATCAACCCTACATTAGGCAAGTGGACGATGGCGGACGGTGTGGGGGCTGGGCGCGAGGCATGAAAGGGTCAAGTGTTATAATTCCGTCAAAATCGTACAGGCAACCAACCTTAATTGTTCATCGTTCGCCCGACCAAACATATGCGCCCCCTCCCTCGCTGTGACCCTGAAGCTCCGGAAGGAATGGAGCGCACTATTAGTCTGCGGGTGGTGGTGATGGTGGTGGCACCACGAGCCATGGAAGTCGTTGTAGTAGCCGACAGCGCACTCATGCCCAGAATCGCTGTCTGACGTTCGTTACAAAGCTCTCTGAGATCCGCTCCCCGGACCCAGAGGTACCGACGGTGTGCCATCCGCAGCTTGGAGACAGCTCGCTCATGACAATATACGCCCGTTCCCCAGCCCACGCCGAGTATCTCCTATCCTTTAGCTGTCCGCTGTCCAATCATTCGGCCTCGAGAGCGCGCGAGAAACGTGGTCATGGGCCCTCGTCGGCCTGGCCGCCTGCGCCTTCTAGGCCCTTCCCCGTTCATATTCGCATCCTCACAATATCCGAAGATCCTCAAGCGACACAGTAATGTCAACGCCAGATCCCTCCCTTCATGACAGATGGACAGATAGGCGCCTATCCACCGCGGCGCCCCTCACCCATCTTCCCATTCTCGAAACATCGGGACGTTTGGGCGAACAGTATTTCGTGCGTTGATGGCAAACTAAACCGTGTGCTGGCTGCTGATGTTCCCTCAACTCTGGCCCTCCCAGCCACAAATGCCTCAGATCATCCGACGAGCCGGATAAATGGTAATAGCAACGAGGGAATGGGACAGCCGCGACTCGTGGTAACCAGCATCGCGGCGGGCCGAGGGCTTTGCGAGTACCGCACCCACCAAACTGCCAGCTCATCAACGACTGAACGCCCTCTGTGCCTGCAAACCTGTCTCTTCCATCGCCGCGCCTGCTCTCATCCGACTCCCACAGCCCATCAACTCCATTCCAGTCGAGTGGACGTCCGGGGGGTGCGTGCATCTGGCACCTCGGTGTCGCTGGAGTAACGAAATTCAACGTGGTTCAGCGTTCCCACGCTGGGAATGATTCTCAATGCCCACGAAATTGCATCCATTAAACCTTCAATTGCACAATTTGCTGTTGACCCGTCCCCGTCGTCTCAGTCGACACCCCCCCGTCTCAGTCCCCCGTCCCGGAACAACCCAGACTCCCAAGTCTCCCTAAAAGCTCATTTAGTCTGAGAGCGAAATAGACTTCTTGGCACCCTTCCTGAACAGGTTAGTAGGCTCGCACCCCCCCATTTCATTTTGGGGGGCCTGCAATGGTGACTGTCCGGCTTAGTTATTGGGTCAAAGCTACCCCTGCCCACCATGATTTGTAGAAGCTTCATAAGTTCTCTCGCTGCCCCCAACACCTTTCATCATCCACCCTCACTTCCGTTGAGTTCGTTCTGCGCCTTGTCAACCGTTATCGAGAAGCCCTTTTGTGCCAGTTGTTCCTTCATCTAATCCCCTCCCCCCGGAGTTCGACTCTGCTCGACCCAATACCGGATCTGACACTCTTCACTCACTCTTCTTCTTTCTAATCATGGCCCAAAATGGTGCCACCGTCTTCGAAGAAGATGAAAAACTTGGCGAGTACGGTAATTTAGTTCGGTACATTTCTAATTTTAAGGATGGACGCCGCATGTCGACATCGGGAGCATCCATATTGGATCTACCACAGAAGAAAAAATGGTACCAATTTGGAAAGACTGAACAAGTGGCCGACGGCTTCTACGAAACACCCGTAGAATGGCTACAGACTGACTGGAAAAACGGTCTGACTACGACCGAGGTTGAAGCCAGAAGAAAAAAGGTTGGCTTCAACGAACTCACTACGGAAAAGGAAAACATGTTTCTCACTTTCGTTTCCTATTTCCGTGGCCCTATTCTTTATGGTCCGTTCTGTTGATTAACCTCTTCCCGTCTCTGCTAACACAAATCTAGTAATGGAACTGGCAGTCTTGCTCGCGGCTGGACTGCGTGACTGGATTGACTTTGGTGTGATAATTGGAATATTAATGTTGAATGCCATCGTGGGATGGTATCAAGAAAAACAAGCTGCTGACGTTGTTGCCTCCCTTAAGGGTGACATCGCTCTACGTACTACGGTTATACGTGATGGACAACAATATGAGATCAAGGCCCGTGAACTTGTTCCCGGAGACATTGTAAGAAACCACTGTCTAAGATTACAATCTATGATGCGCTAACAATCATCCAGGTTATAGTTGAAGACGGAAATGTTGTACCTGCTGACTGCCGGATTATTTCTGCTTATGATAATCCCAATGGCTGGGCAGAATACCAACGTGAACTTGAAGCACAGGCCGGAGAGTCCAATAACGAGAAGGATGACGACGATGAGATGGGTGAAAAACATGGATCAGGCTATGCTCTCCTTGCTATTGATCAATCTGCCATGACTGGAGAATCTCTCGCCGTTGACAAGTATGTCGCAGATGTCATTTATTACACCACTGGATGCAAACGAGGCAAGGCTTACGCTATAGTCACCCACTCTGCAAAGATGTCGTTCGTTGGTCGTACCGCCTCTCTCGTTTCCGGTGCCCAGGACCAAGGTCACTTCAAGGCTATCATGAACTCTATCGGTACAGCGCTTCTAGTCCTTGTTGTTGCCTTCATTCTCGCTTCATGGGTCGGAGGATTTTTCCACCACCTTCCTATCGCCACTCCTGAAGGTTCATCTATCAATCTACTTCATTACGCTCTGATCCTTTTGATTGTGGGTGTACCGGTTGGTCTTCCTGTCGTCACCACAACAACACTTGCAGTTGGTGCGGCATATCTCGCAAAAGAGAAGGCAATCGTGCAGAAACTTACCGCAATTGAATCCCTAGCTGTAAGTTTAAGATAATACTCCTGACCAAAATTACAACACAAGACTAAGTCATTACAGGGTGTCGATGTTCTGTGTTCGGATAAGACTGGTACTCTAACTGCTAATCAACTCTCTATCCGTGAACCTTTTGTAGCTGATGGTGTTGATGTCAACTGGATGATGGCCGTTGCTGCACTAGCCTCATCCCACAATGTGAAATCACTTGACCCCATCGACAAGGTCACGATTCTCACACTCAAACGTTACCCAAGAGCAAAAGAGATTTTGTCTCAAGGCTGGCGTACGGAGAAGTTCACACCTTTCGATCCTGTCTCAAAGCGTATCACCGCTATCGTTATCAAAGATGGTGTAACATACACTTGTGCCAAGGGCGCCCCAAAAGCTATTCTCAACTTATCGAACTGTTCAAAAGATGACGCTGAGATGTACAAATCCAAGGTCACTGAGTTCGCTCGCCGCGGCTTCCGATCTCTAGGTGTCGCCGTAAAGGAAGGTGATGGTGACTGGCAGCTACTTGGAATGCTTCCCATGTTTGACCCACCTCGTGAGGATACAGCATCTACTATTGCCGAAGCACAGGTACTCGGACTTTCGGTTAAGATGCTTACTGGTGATGCCATCGCTATCGCAAAAGAAACTTGTAAGATGTTGGCTCTTGGAACTAAGGTCTACAATTCTGAAAGATTGATCCATGGCGGACTTTCTGGTACCACTCAACATGACCTCGTCGAAAAGGCAGATGGTTTCGCAGAAGTTTTCCCTGAGCATAAATACCAGGTAGTAGAAATGTTACAGCAGCGTGGACACCTGACTGCCATGACCGGTGACGGAGTCAATGATGCACCATCCCTTAAGAAATCTGACTGTGGTATTGCTGTCGAAGGAGCTACAGAAGCTGCACAAGCCGCATCCGACATCGTTTTCCTTGCCCCTGGACTTTCAACCATCGTTTCTGCAATCAAGATTGCCCGACAGATCTTTCAACGCATGAAGGCATATATTCAGTACCGTATTGCCCTCTGTCTCCACTTGGAAATTTACCTAGTAACATCAATGATCATCATCAACGAAACCGTCCGTGTGGATCTGATTGTTTTCCTTGCCCTCTTTGCAGACTTGGCCACCATCGCTGTTGCATATGACAATGCTCATTTTGAAATTAGACCAGTCGAATGGCAATTACCAAAGATTTGGATTATATCTGTCGTTCTGGGTATACTTTTGGCCATTGGCACCTGGATTCTCAGGGGATCCCTTTTCCTCCCCAATGGTGGCATGATTGATAATTTCGGCTCTATCCAAGGAATGCTCTTCCTACAAATATCACTCACCGAAAACTGGCTAATCTTTGTCACACGTGGAGATGAAACTTACCCTGCATTTGCCCTTGTCGCAGCTATCTTCGGTGTGGATGTCCTCGCAACCCTATTCTGTATCTTTGGATGGTTGACTGGTGGCGCTGGTGAACAATCTGACCCAGCTACTCTCAATGTACTACTCTCTACTGACGGTCGAACATCCATCGTCACTGTCATAGTTGTCTGGTGTTACTCAATCGCAGTCACAATTGTTATCGCAATTGTCTATCACATCATGAACAAGGCTGCATGGCTTGACAATCTCGGTCGCTTCAAGCGGTCTCGTGCTGACACTCAAATGGAGAATATTATCATGCATCTATCTAAGATTGCTATCCAACACGAGCGCGATGAAAACGGAAACAGTCGTTTTGCCCTTGTGCCGAAAGCACTTGAAGCTGAGGATGACGATTAGACACCTTCCTTATACGTCTTTACCTCGGCTGACTCTTAGCCTTAGAGGTTTTCCCTAATCGTGCATGCGTGATTTTTTATGGCTGGCCGTTGGTACACAATACTTGTGGAGGTTTAATGAGGGGATAGTTGAGGCGCCAATGATCTACGAAAAATAGCTTGTGCTGTCCAATGGATCTACGGAATGCACGACTTTGGATGAAGGGTAGTAGTGTGCTTAAACGATTCGCAGTGGACTTTCCTTGAATGAACTCACTGTCTGTATACATCAGTCGTTAAGAAAATATGGAACTGGGAGGGATTCCACGGTGTTTGGATGAAAGATGTGAAAGATACCTTGAACTAATTTCCTAGTGTTAGTTAATTTGATTATTATACCTAATTACATGCGAATCTCTGCGTGAAATCTATCTCTTAATTACAATAGCCTTGGAGTAAACTGAAATCACATGTGGACGTATGGTCCAAATTTCTGAAAATCTATGAAATCTACGTTTTTCCCGTGAGTGTGATATATCGTTGCCCTAATGAGTTTGTGCGCATGTAAGGATTTGTAGGTCCATTTGTCCACAGCCCGTGTGTATCTATGCTTATGGCAGTGTTTACCCTTCTTCGTAACTCCATTCCAGCAATAATTCCCGCACATATCTTCATTCGAGTACACATTAAGAGGAGCCGTTTTCCTAGGGTTCCCTTCGCAAACGTGACGTAAGAGTCGTTGTCGAATGGCAAAGGCTTTGAGGCTCACTGTTAGACAATCATTTCTTGACCATTTTTAGTGTATTCAACCAGTACTAGCTATGCTATACCTAGCCGCGCAGCTACGAACAATATGAAAACAACAGCTTCACCTTAGAAGATTTTTCTCCTGCTCCATAATTCCCATCATCTGACACATGACATTTCCTACAATCGCCCTGCACCTCGCAAGTTGGGCCGAGTATTTGGACTTTTGCTCTCGTGGGAGCAGCCAAACTTGCACTTCTGTACTACTACCTCGCATATTAACGTGTTGCTCAAGAAACTGCTATACTTAAATACGCCTCCGTTCTAATTCGATTGTATTTATAATTCTAATCAAGTGTGTCGAGTTATTCTGGCCGGTTTCGATCTTTCTTCTGTTCAGAGACTCTACTACCCACATCTGTTCCCTCCAAGAACTTTCGCATCCCAGTTGTTGCCCCTTTATCTGCAGATATTAGAGCTACATCTGTTTTATTCCTAGTTGAGCCTTGTTCAGGATCCAGTTTATAAGGAGTTCCTGGATACTTTGTTCCTCCGATGTTCGGCTGTAAACCGTTGGCGGTATTCTGTCCAGGTTCTTTTGGGTCACAGCTCTAGCACTGTGTGTCCGAGATGAGAATTCCTCTACACATGGCCGCGCGTTTCCTGTTGCATACCGTTCACCATAATTCATCAATTCCTATCCGTTGGTGGGGGTAGTCACAAATGTCGCTCAGACTGTGGTAATTGGCGCGAAAAAAAAGGCCCGAGATGAATTATGTGACACAGATTGGTCCGCAGAATGCCGCGACTCGTGATGATAACTGGTCCGTTTGGCTACAGCAGAATGGATGACTATGAGGGCTACTGGCTAGTGCAGTAGAGCGTAAATGGGCCCGGGTCGCACTAGGACGGCGCTCATCAAAGGCAAGCACGGTTTTATTACCAGTTCGAGACTCGACTAAGAGACATTGGTAAGTGCGTGCCAACTGGCGACCGTGCGTTTCAGCCTTGCTCGATTGTTTCACTTTAACTGTAACATTTTCCAACAACTCTGATCAGCGCGCATCAACTCCATTGCTAGCTTCACGTAAGGTTGAAGGCTCCTGCCTACAAGGACTTTTGCTTCTATGGGGGATCTTGGCTCAACACAAGTCCGACGGGACCCACTAATGCTGGTCACAGCGGTGATTATGATTTCAGTCCAAACGTCGTCACGATATCTTACAGTTCCTATACTGCAAAATCAAATGAGTCTAGCAACGTTCGAACCCTCCCGGCGAGATCACTCCCGCCAAGCAGAAGTTTTATCAAAACCAAAGCTAGTTCGTGCGCACCCGACTTTGGGACGAATGGCTGGCTTGTGCAGACTATGAATCTGGCTTGGCTCCTACATAATCGGCCTGAGCGAAACCAACATGCCAGAAACAAAGTTTGTTGAATACACCCACTCTAATACAGTAATCCATCAAAACCTCCACTTATTAATTGACAAAACCCACCATCCGGAATGGTCGGCAAGACATCGCCCATGATGACGGTGAGTCAGGAACTGGGCCAAGTTCTAACGACGGTATTGGCGTACAACGGGATTTTTGGACCGGTTGATCCCCAACCCGGCTGGCAGTAAACTCTGGATCCAAACTGACATGTGCATTGGGCCTGGGAGATGAACTCACCCTAACACTGGAAGTCGGGTAAAAAATGCATCCAGCATTGAATGTCAACATCAAACCTTGCAACCCCACTCTCATCCTTCGCCTTGGAAAGGAGCAATTGTATGCCAAAAACTAGGCCTGGCTGCCAATAAGGAAAATTATTCTGTTTCTCTAGCGAGTTGTTTGGCAAGGAAACATAAAGTTTTGCTGTAGACGGCATTGGGGGTAGTGAAATTTACATAGTCAAAGTTCGTTGTTTAACCATCCAATTTATGTCAAAGAAGGCCTGGAACTTGCGTTAAAATGATTCTTTGGAGCGGTTATGACGTGCTCAATTTCACAGAGTCTGATTACAATGATATCGCATGTGGGGGAAAGTAAATTAGAGAAACAATCGATTGAAAAAGCGTCGAAATTTCCCTCTTTACGGGCCGAATCTCTCAATGAGCGGATTATGTGATATTGAAAACCCAAGGCTCTTGAACTAGTTACTATTACTAATCAAATAAGAAGCTTTGTCGCAAAAAAACGTACGGTGCGTGGAGGCGGTCAGAAAACGGAAGTGATAGGATGTCCTGCCATACAGGGCAGAATCCGGGCGCGAGATTCGTGGGATAGTATTAATCAACAAAGGACTTGACCTACCCAATTGGACAACCCACTACCTCATGTTGCTTTTGCGGACGAGAAGTCTGAGATTAAATTATGGGCATTGCGCGTGACACGCTGCAATTTTCGAGGCTCTGATCTCATGGATGCCAGGTCTAGGCTAAGGCTAATTAGCTGTTATGCAATACTAACACACCGCAGCACGCCCAGCCTTAAAGTGGCGTCTATGGCACGGCCCGCAATAGCTGTGATGCAAACACCGCCCTACATAGATCATTGCGGGATCCAGTACATTGTGCTTCTCACGGCTGATGTCAGATGATTGATCATAAGCAGCATACGAGCGAACGTCTGACAACATAGCCATGCACGTCTGTCGAGTAATATTTAGTCGTTTCACACTAGCTGTGCATGGATTTTCTGGCAGGGCCCGGCCAGTGATTTCCCAGTCCGACGCGCAGCGGCTTCAGACCAACCTGTGCGGAGTAACAACCTCCTGCAAGCCTGGCTATCCATAGTCGTACTGTCCATTCGGATTTTCCACAGCTAACGGCCTCGTGGATATTATCCGTTGCCTACTTCTCTCTCTCTGCGCAATCAGGCATGATTCGGTGCAAAGAAACTATGGTTACTTGCAAAGTCACCTGCAGTACCAACATCCTTAGTAATAAGCTTACTGGCGGTAAGATATACTCTCTGATCATGCGCCTGAACCTTGTTTGTATATAATTTGTTTTTTACTATTCAACACATTAGATGATTGGCGATATCAGCACTCACAGAGAGCTCGACACGAGTGAAACCCAGCTGGATCTGGTTGGCCACCATAAACAGAAAAACAAACCACGTCTCAATTACTTGATCAAATCATCCCAGAATCCACTTAAATGTTGAGCCACGACAAGTCTGAGCGTCTAGAAAACCCGTTGTAAACGCACAAACCCGCTGTACCCTCGTCAGTCGCCGTCATTTGCGCCTGAGACCTTCATGCCGTCATCATCTCCGAATTTCTCTGTCTTGAACAGGCCTCGTGTCGTCATGACTCAACATCTTCCAACCACTCTGGAGGACTATCGTTCATGCGATATCAGGTCTCTGGCAATTCACTTGGACCTTATTGCAACTTGCCCGTTTTCCTCCATGTTTGCAAGCCCCCTTTCCATACCAACTTTCTTCGCTAGGGCGTGCAGTAGTTGGTGATAGTGCGGATGGATCCCAGGTCTGTGCTTTCCCCAGAAATATTTGTCTCACATAAATGGAGAGCGAAGTGCGTCGGTTCTGCCACGATTCCACTCAGACCTGAGTCTATTCGTATCACAGATGCGGCTGAAGAGAGAGTTTTCTTCGACTTTGGTGCCGCGGTTATACTTGGAAATTGTCTTTTAAACAGCACTGCCGAGCACATTCTCGGTAGGCTAACTTTCACCCGTGTAGAGCTAGTTCCTTCCTTTACCGCGTCTGAATCCTAGTTGTGGGGTATCTCTCCCGGGCCAGGTATACAGAGGACGCGGCTGACCGATGATCAATCCTCGTGCTACGCGCCTGGGAAATGGTCGGTGATCACCTTGGTTATTCTTGTGGGTTCTGGAGACATGCCAGGTAAGAGCCGATATACCGATTTTCATTGAGACGAAAGCGCCCGCGATGATCTCATTCCACGTTAGAACTTGTCTCTTGTGCTGATGAGCAAACGGATTCCATCGTGACGCAGCAACGTTGGCCCCCTCGACCCGCTTACTACCATCGATGGATCATACCTTTCCAAGAACCGCCGAGGTGCCTTGATGAAGTAACCAAGGACAACTTAAACTCTAAGAATATATCAATATGAGTGGATAGTGTTCCTTGAATTTCTCTGTAATGCTGAACTTACAAGTTCTGCGTAGTATACTCCCTTCTATGTCCAAAACAAACGTAGAAAATGTGCTGGAGACCATGAAGAATTAGTAGCCTTAGGTCATAGTGGTCCGGGATGCAGGTAAATAAGAATGTATTAAATTTAGAGCTGAAT